ACTGCATTAAATATTAAAATGTCTATAGAAAAAGAAATGATACTATAAAGTTAAAGACAAGTCATACAGCGGAGAAGACATTTGCCACACACAAAATTTAAAAAGAAAACGTATCCAAAAGACATATAATAAATATATTTTGAAAAGGCAACCAACCAAAAAGAAAAATGGGCAAAGAATACCAATAGGGAATGAGCAGAAGGAACTGGAATGATCTACAAATATATGAAAAGATGCTCAACCTCATTAGCATTCAGGGAAATACTGTCAGACCGGCAAAAATTAAAACTCAGAAGTTGCCAGTGGTATGGTGTCATGGTAACATGTAGATCACTGGTTGGACTAGTTAGCAAAATAAATTGGAAACAATCTAAATGTACATCAACTGCAGAATGAGTAAATTAAGTGCCAATGGTTGTACTGTAGGTTGCTGTTCAGCAGTGAGATGACAGAGATTAGTACATACCTACATGGGCCGATCTCAGAAAACAGTGCTGAGAACAGGTTGACAGTAAGTGGGAGATAAAGGGAACTTCAGCTTTTCCTTACGTATTTTACTTTTTTTATTTAAAGAAAAAAAAAAAAGGAAGACAAGGGTGCCCCGGTGGCTCAGTCAGTTAAACATCTGACTCTTGGTTTCCACTCAGGGTGTGATCTCATGGTTGGTGGGATCGAGCCCCGTGTCAGGCTCCATGCTCTGTGGGGAGTCTGCTTGAAGATTCTCTCTTCCTCTCTCTCTCTCTCTCAAATAAATAAATCTTTAAAAAGAAGAAAACAAAAAAAATGTGGCAGTGTATTTCCACTCTGCATGGCAAGAACATAAGTACTTGCTATATTCTTCTCTGAACTTCCCTGTATTTTGAAAGGTCTCAGTATAAGTGAAAGGTGTGGTGTGAGATGTTTCTGTTAAATATTCAATTTAGGGAACCACCATATTAAGGTACTAGTAACTTATATGTTAACCTTTCCAAGGACACTTTTATTTTTAAAGAAGGCTGCTGTGTTTAATCCAAAGCTTGAGGCACTGTCAGATTTGTTCTCACTTATGAACTGTGGGTTATGATTTCTGAAGACAAAATTTAAAGGGAGTTATCTTCCTCCCATGTGCTAGTCGTGCAGTTTGGGTAAGTTGCCATCACTCCGACCAAGTGATAGGCTCCCGTTAGGTTGGACAGCTCAGAGAGAATAGAACATTTTCTCATTCGGTGATGGTTTTATTCTTTATAAATAGAACTGCATTTAAAACAACTCCACATGGAATAAAATTTAGAGCCAGGTTTATGGAAACATGGACACCTACGTGCAAACAAATCCCTTCAAATTTGATCAAACATTGATTCTATCCTGCTCATAGACCTGGAGTGGACTGAACACAATTTAAATATTTCTTGGTTTGTCTGCAGAGTATCAAGTCTCGTCCAGAGCTCGGAGACTTCTACTCCCTTCACCCCCAATCAACTCTGCCAGTTGTTTAAATGGCTCGAATATTTCTGCAGCCATGGTTTTTAAGTGAGAGTCGTTTTATTGCTTTGGGCATGTTCCTTCTCCTAGCCAGTGCTCAGAATTTTAACTATCTCACTATTCAATTTCTCTCTGTCTCCTTCCATGGGGGAGAAACTGGATTTCTGATCCACACAGCTTGGCAAAGGCTAGCAGGGAGCAAGAGATTACAGCCAGATGTACATCTGCATGTCAGCAGCAAGAAGGTCTGGGATGGTGCTTTTTCAATCAGAAGGGAGTCATTTTCTCCCTCTCGAAGGGGAGGGCCTCCTCCCTCCCATCAGATATTTGGCGGCTAGATGCTCACTGATTAATTACTGAGGTCGCATCTACACACAACTGGTTTTCTAACAACAATCCTAGCACGCTTCCAGTTAATTCCTGAATGCGCTTCTTATTTTTAAGAGAACTACCCTCCTTTCCCAAAGCATAGAAATAGAAAATAATAAAATAGTTCAAAGAACAAAGCATAATTTTTTAAAAAGATTTTATTTATTTATTTGAGAGAGAGAGTTACAGAGAGAGCACAAGAAGGGGGAGGGTTAGAGGGAAAAGCAGACTCCTCGCTGAGTAGGGATCCCAATGTGGGGCTCAATCCCAGGACTTTGGGATCATGACCTGAGCCAAAGGTATTTGCTTCACCGACTGAGCCACCTAGGTGCCCTAAAGCATAATTTTAAAAGAAATGATTCCACCACAATTTCTAATATTAGAAAATCAAGTACCAGTGGGAGAGTGTTTTCAGGGGCAGGGAAACATTTTGAGTACCCTTCCAATCAGAACACCAAGCCAATCAGTTATTCTATTTGCACATCACGTGAGGTATCACTCTTAATGTCTTCTGGTCAAGTCCAGAAATCCATTTTATATTGGAAAGGTAAGGCAACATAGGCATCCTTTTTCTGTACCCCAACAGTCCTCCATGGACCTAAGAGAGATAGCATGTCAAGTTCATTATCAGTAAGCTCCTTTTTCTAGGTTGACTCATTACTGGGATTTTCCATCTGTTTTCCAAGATGTATGAAGTCCCCAATACAATCACTCCATGAAACCTAACCTGGAAACTGCCTCTTCGATCACATTCTGATTTTTAGGAGCTCAACACACAATGTGGCCAATGCTAGAAGTAATTGACTGCAACAAGTATAATTATGGGTTCTCCAAAACAAGCTAAATTTGCGAGAATGGGTTGACAGTTACTAATTAAGATCTCATCTCTGTATCGGGGGAAATACTGGAACCTCACAAATGAGCAGCAATTTCAATGACAATTTGCTATGCAAAATTTGGGGGCAATCCAAATGAAAATGTGGGTACTACAGCTCTGAAAACCTACACCTACCCATCTCGCCTCCCCAAGTTCATCTCTCTTCACTCTCCGATAACACACACCTTGTGGGCTGCTCCAATTTGAAACCGCAAAACAACTGACAGATGACATTCACATGCGTGACATATCCCCATGGGTGTACTTGGGGACTACACAATTCTTGGCATGCTAGCTATTAATTGGGCCCTTTTCTCTCTCATTAAAACATACTGAAACACAAGCAGACACGAGGGATGCTGTCATTAGAAGGATAACCTTGAATCCATTCCAACTTGTAAGTACAGTAAATCACTCAGCAATGTCGGTACATTCACTCCTATCAGAGACAAATTATTTACGGTAACACTTTACAACCAATCACGACACATCAGCTGTGGCTAACAATGGCTCCTCTTGTCACACCAGGGACCTGCCATGCTCTCACACGCCTCTGCACGTGCTTTTCCCTCCACTCCAAAAGGTCTAAAACCCCACCTAATAAGTCCACAAGATCAGTTTGTTGATTGACTGAAGGACTGAATGAATGAAGTGCTTGCGACCTCAGATAAGCCTCCCACTGCGTTTGTAACGTTTGCACCTTGGGCCACAGCCACGCTCTGATGAAAAATAATATTGTGTTACGAATAGGAAAGTCAACTGTGATTATGGGCAAATTTTCTTAACCAGAAAGCATTGAGTAGTAAGATGCTTTGCAGCTGTACATTTTTATTAAGGACCGTTTAAATAAACATAAAACATGTTTGCCAAGAGAGGGTAAAAAGACGGATGCAAATTTCAGCCAGAAAATAGGCACATTCTTTTATTTTTTTTTTTTGCATTTGCCTTAAAATGTGCCCCTAAAACACCAATTACCCTTGGATGTCATTTTTGACCAGCGACAGGGACCAGAAATAGTGACTTAATTTAGGCAGGAGTTTGCTAGGACATAATATGGCTACTGTGCCTGGCGTCTTTCTTGGTCATAAAAGCAGTAAGGAAGTATGACATAACGTGGTGATGGTAAATCACAGCCTGAGCCATTTTGGTTGGCAGAATTTGAAAGACAAACATTACTTCAGGAGCAGAGAAGACGTGCCTAATTACCTCCGTGCCTGGGCTGGGTTCCCTGCAGCTTGGGTCGTTCCTGGACTCAGGTGTGTCTACACGGCCCGGGGCCACGTGTGCAGGGGCAACGTGGCTGGGTGAGGAAGTGGGCGCCTGGGAATGTGAGGACTGGCCACCGCCCCCCTCTCCCCCCACCCCCACACCACCTCCTCTCCAGGGAAGTCAGGCAGCTGAACCAAAGGAGAAGGCAACCTCCAGGGGCCCTATGGAGCCTACAAGGATGGAGACTGGGGAGAGAGGTCCCCGCCACTGGTCCCAGCCGCTCTGCTTGCGAAGTGGCAGGGAGCTGAGCGCCTCCATTTGTAGATCTGCCATTTTTACCTCGGGCCAGCCCAAACCACCTCTTCCTTCTCTCCTGAGGTTTCCCCATCTGCTCCCAGCTGAGGCCCGAATGGGCTGGGGACTCAACCCCGCTGGGGGTGACCACAGTTTCCAGAGGGAGCCTTCCTCTCTCCTGGCTTGCTGCATTTTCAGAGCTCAGAAACCTTCATTTCTTCATAGCTTTTGTTTGACACTGATAGCCCCAGGCCCCTCTCCTCTCTTGCTTCTGTTTTTTTCTGTCTGTCTGTCTGTCTCTGTCCCTTTATGGAAATCGGCTCCCCTCTCATAGTAGGGTAGACTATAGTAGAATCCCAGCAAGGCTTTCCCTGGCGTGTCTGTCTCTTTGTCAGAGCTTTTCTCTTTTTTTTTCTCTCATTCCTCACCGGTATACCCCGAATCCCAGTAATTCTCCACATTTTTCATTTTAATTGCAGCAACACACACAGAACATAAAATTGACATTTTTAAAAAGATTTTATTTATTTATTTACTTATTTATTTATTTAAGACAGAGAGATGGAGAGGGAGAGAAACAGAGACAGCTGAGATTAAGGGAGAGGAGAGGGACAAGCAGACTCTGTGCAGAGCGCAGAGTCCAAAGCAGGGCTCAATCTCAGGACCCTGAGATCAGGGACTGAGCTGAAATCAAGGTCGGAGGCTTCACCAACTGAGTCGCCTGATGCCTCGACATTTTTTAAAATCCAAAATGTGTGTATTGGGATCATTTCCCATTCCTCTTCGTCTTGGGTGCTTTTAGTGCTGTATCTGTCTGGAGGAGCCTGCTTCTGTAAGCCTCGCTTTTCCTCCCGTGGGCTGGCAGAGGACAGTGGAGCAGCCAACACACAAAACTACGGTTTGTACATGGCTCAAGACGGTAGTGACTGTGTCGGATCCCAGGCACTTCATGCCTGTGAAGCAGGAGCTGGGGCTCTGTGCCAGGTGCTTCTTCTTCTTGTGCTTCCTCTTCGCCTCTTCCAGGGATGGGTGGAGGAAGTCCTTCGTAAGGGGCATATTCTTGTGGGGTGATCGTCGGCGCCAGAAAGGCCATAAAATTGACATGTTAGCAATTTTCAAGTGTCCAGTTCAGGGGCATTAAGCGCATTCACCCTGTGGCACTGCATCTTTCTCCAGACCTCTTTTCGTCTTCCCAGACTGAAACTACACATCAAACAACACTCCTTTTGCTCCAACTTCAAGCCCCTGGCAACCACCATTCTACTTTCTGTCACTAGGAATGTGACTACTCTAGGTGCCCCCATGTAAGCAGAATCACACAGAATTTTCTTTTCTTTCTTTCTTTCTTTTTTTTTTTTTTGGTGACAGGCTGATTTCACTTAGCCTCATGTCTTCAAGTTTCATCTGTCGTGTACAGCAGGTGTCAGAATTTCCTCCCTGTTTAAGGCTGAATGATATGCCACCGTATGGACATACCACCTTTTGCTTACATTGCTTCCATCTTCCGAACTTTCCTCTGAAGTGTGGAAACATTAGGCATGAGTGCCCGAAGGGCTAAAGCTCTCCAGTGCCCCATGCTCTGCTCCAGAATGCTCGTCTTGGACTGCCAACAGCCCCCACCAGGTATTATTAGCACGTAGACCAGTTGCTCAGTGGTTGGCACACTCTTGTGCTTAATCTTCACAACAATGGAGTAAGGTGAGTGTTACTCCCCTGTAACAGAGTCTTCTACTGAGACGCAGAAAGGCTAAGCCACTTGCCTAAGGCCAAACAGTTAATAAGTAGCAGAGCTTGGATTGGAAACCCCCAATCAGGCTCGTCTAACTCAGACGCATCACTCCCAGTGCCCATGCAAGGCCCAGAGGCTCTCTGCCACCAGTTCCTTCTGTTTGGTTTCAGATTGGGTTGGTTTGTAAGAATAGTAGAGCTGACTCTACCCACTGACAGACCACTGACCACATGTGCCTGGAACGGCCCGTTGGATCCTGAAATCCTGGCCGCCCCCCCTCCTGCACACACACATGCATGAACACGCACTCATACTCATACACACACAGTTCTGAAATCATTCTACTTTGGGGGCTGTCAAGACTTCTCTATTGCTGTGTAAGTGAGGCAGCGAGCATCATGGAGATGCTGGGATTTGTATTAACTTTGTTCATCAATTAGCCAAAAGAAGCCACGCCTGGACTCGGGACTTGGTTCATGTTCTTGGACCCACAACTCTTTCATAAGCTATTTGTTTCACTTCCTCTCCGGAGGCAATCTGCTCTTGAATGGATTGATTTAAAAAAGTGTCCAGCATTTGAAAATGCTAGAAGAATTAGGCTTGAGGCTTTTGGCAGATGTTTACCTGCTCATGTAAGTGTGACTTAGAAGCCCGGGGAACATCATTTTCTACCAAGGAAAAGAAGGGCTGAGGGGCCTCATGGCTGAGACTTGGGTGTGTCTTGTGTGTGTGGAGGGGTGCCTCATGGAGGTGAGAAAAAGCCTAGTGGGGCTGGGAACTTGCAAATAGAAAACACAAACTCAACTGCTTCAATTTTGCCAGGAGCTGGCCAAGTCCACAGCTCTCTCGGATGCTACCCCAAAGGCTGGCCAGAGTGGCTATGCACATGCCGGTACCCTGGGCAGCAACAGGCCCAGCTGGGTAAACAGAAGTGCAGGAGCAAAACAAGCCAATAAATCATGGCACGGCTCTAGGCTGCCCCAGTCCCCTCCTCCCTCTTCCTTTCCAGCTCCCCCGGGTCTCCCTATCAAGCAAATGGGCCCAGGTGTCCTTTGATCTATCTCCTTGCCCTTCACAAGGGAGAAACGTATCTATAGGAAGGGTGAGCTCAGCCCCACCTGTGACCTGCCCCAGGGCTCCTTGCAGGGAGCTGTGAGCTTCACACATCCAGCTGCTAATGGCAAAAAAGAAAAGCAGACATGGGGTGTTTGAGAAGCTACAGGCTGGCCTATGGTTAGAGAGGCCCTGGGTGGTTGACCTTTATAGAGTTATAGAGATGAATGGGCCTGTTCTCCACCTCAAGCAAGAGCCACTGCTTATACTAAGCACACAGAGCCCTGATGGGACCAGAGCTGAGCTCAAACTCCACCACTGCTCCTTTGCTTTGTATTTTTCATACACATCCTGTGCTCAAATTTGGAGCTCTCACATTTTGGAGATCCCTCATCCTGCTAGTAAACGGACATATTACCCAATGTTGGGTCATTGATCCTTCCTCAAGGAGGCCCATACAGCGTCCTGTTCTACTGGATAGAGCTCTTCTGACTGCTGTACCCCCCAGTACTTAGAACAGTGCCAACATCTCCCTGGTGCAGATTAAATACTTGTTGAGTGAACGAATGAACTGGCATAATGTAATGGTGGAAAGGTCAGTCTCCGAAGTCAGAACAGAATTCCAGCCCAGGTTCTGCCAGTTTGACCTTGGCAAAGATAACTTCCCTTGGCCTTGGTTTTCTTGTCTATAAAATAATAGTATCATAAAAAGAGTAATGTGTGAATTAAAAAAAATAATGCATGTACTGCACTGAGCCAGTGCATGACCTGTAAGTCCTCAGTAAAATGTTAGTTATTATTATTATTTTTGTATATCAACTCCAGGCAACTGGTCTAGATTGCTGGGGGTGCTGAATAGAGGATTCTGTGGTCTCAACCCAACTTGATGGAAAAGAGTGCTCTAAGGCCTGCTAGGAGTGAAGACAGGAGAAGTGGGAGCTTACTTACGCTATTTGCCTTCTCTGGTTTGGCCATGAAAATGGCCAACACTGAACCATCTGGAATACTCTTCAGGAAGAAGTACACTGTGTACATCTGGCAAATTGCTTTTATCAGCCATGCAGGTGTAAGAAAAAAGCTTAGGGATTCAGTGGGGACTGCCCCCCACAGTAATGGCAGGGGTGAAGAGTAGGTCTGCCTACTAAAATTCCAAAACTATTCAAATATCCCTCTGCTTGCCCAAGGGTCGGAAATAACATTCTTTTTTTTAAAGATTTATTTATTTATTTGAGAGCGAGAATGTGAGTGGTGAGAGAGGGACAAAGGAAAGGGAGAGAATCCTCAAGCCGACTCGCACTGAGTATGAAACCCCACACAGGGTTCAGTCCTAGGACACTGAGATCATGACCTGAGTCGATGACAAGAGTCAGATGCTCAACAGACTGAGCCACCCAGATGTCCCAGAAATAGCATTCTTCATCATAGAAGCAGACCCTGATGGGAAGGTACTCCCCTATTTTTGAGTCTCTGGTTCTATAAGAAGAATGACTGTCTTTCCATGTGCTTGAAGCCTGTCAAATGTCACACACTATATTTCAAACATGTGAGTTGACATCATGTGAGCAATACTGCACTCATTTCCAAAGCTATTTCAACTTCAAAGGACATGTCAACCACATTAGTCCCACCTAGGTATGTGGCACTTATGATCAATAGGTACCTGATGGCCAAGAAGACCTAGAGGCCCATGTGTATTTAGAAATGGAGCCAAGAAAGGGAATTTTTGACTAAAGGTAAATGAACCTAAGTCTTGTAAAGTTTGAGTTCAGCTGTAAACACAAAGCACATGAAGTCAGAGAAAGTCTTAAATTCTCTATCTGAAAACACTCCAATGACATCATCTCGAGCCTGTGAGTGTCTTTGGGGTCTGGAGAGTGTGAGCCACGAAGCCTCCATGAAGGGAAAAAAATGTTTCCAGAGACTTCTGGCTCTCAACAAAGCAGTAGGGTGGACTTGGGCTCTGAGGGGCACTGTGAGGGTAGGAGTATGACCTCTCACTCCCCATTCCCTGAACCACCTTCACCAAATAACAAACTTGCCTTTGTACATTACTTGAAAAATACCTAAAGAACACCCTGCTCTCCAGAAATACCTCCTTCTTGGCCTCTCCAAGAGACTTGGACTCTCCCAAGTCACCTTTTTTTTTTTCCTTTTAACAGCTTCAGGGCTTGACATTCCTCATGATCAGAGAATTTGGACAGGGTAACTTAGGGAGGCCTTAGCAAACAAGAACATGTGACTCAAGCAAGTGGATGCCATCTGGTCAGTTAGTAGGGCTTGTGGGGAAGGAGCACTCAACAGGGAACCAATTATGAGAGTAGTCTCAGGGCCTAAGGTCCCAGCTAGGGGCCAGAGACCTCAGAGAGCTAATCCCAGGACCTGGCTACTTGAGGCCACTAGGGGCTGGACACAGCAGCAGAAGAGGGAGATTTGAGGGCAAAGAGAACAAATGTTTACATTTTGCCTGGAGTCATGCTGGGCAGCACTTTTCTCAGAGTCCTTCTTTTTCACACGACAGAAGGGAGTCAAAGCTGAGAGACTGCTCGCCTCCTTTTCTCTGTATACCTCCCTCCCTTGCCAAATGAATTGGATACAAAGGGGCCTGTGAATGACTGTGTTTGGCAGAAAGGCTAGGTCGCCTCTTTATGGGTTGCTTACTGATAAAGAATTTATAATAGTCATTCTCTAAATAGAAAGAATTTCATTTTTGCCTCACACCTGGGTAAAACTATGGACAAATACTCTTTATGAATACAGATGTAAAAATCCTCAACAAAATGCAGAATAGGTGAACCCATGGAGACAAAAAGTAGATTAGTGGTTGCCAAGGGCTAGGAAGAGAGGAGAATGAGGAGTAACTGTTTAATGTGTATGGGATTTCCTTCTGGAGTGATGAAAATGTTCTGGAACTACATAGCAGTGATGACTGCACAACAGTGTGAATGTACCAAGTGCTGCTGAATTGGACACATTGAAATGGTTGAAATGGTGAATTTTATGTTATGTGTATGTTACCGAAATAATAAAAAGTCTTCAACAAAATATAGTTGATCCTTGAAGAATGCAGGGGACAGGGGCACCAATTCCCCCCATGTAGTAAAAAATCCACATGTAACTTTTGATTCCCCAAGAACTTAACTAATAGCCTACTGTTGACTGAAAGCCTCACCAAAAACATAAACAGTCAATTGACACATATTTTATATGTTATATGTATTATATACTATATTCTTACAATAACATAAACTAGAGAAAAGAAAATGTTAAGGGAATTCATGAGGGAGGGGAGTCTGGGTGTCTAAGTTGGTTGAGCATCCAACTCTTGGTTTCGGCTTGGGTCATGATCTCAGGGTTGTGGGATTGAGCCCCATGTCAGGCTCTGCACTGGAGCCTGCTTTGGATTCACTCTCTCCCTCTCCCTCGGTCCCTCCCCTCCCCTCTCTCTTTCTAAAAAAAAAAGAAAGAAAATCATGAGAGAAAATACATTTATACTACTGTTCCGTGTTTATTGAAAAAGATCTACATATAAGCAGACC